TGTTATGACAGGGAGCCTTTTATGAAAGGACAAGCCAATTGCCCATCAAGAATGACCAAGGAGAGGGGGGTGGGGGCAGGCAGAGGCAGAGGCCTGCCAAGACAGCCAATCAGAGCATGAATAAAGTGTTACGGACAGACAGACAGACGTAGGTTTTTATAATATTAGAATATCTGCTCTGGAATTTGCTTCCCCAGTGGACTGAGAGTACCTTTTTTACCCTTTGGAGCCTGTGGCAAGACCTATTAAGCTAGGCTTTTGCTTGATGAGATAGTTGAGAAGGGATGGAGAACAACTGCATTTCTTTTTCTTGGGAATCATTTATTAGTTCCCTTTAAGTGAGATTGTGCTAATGAGCTGATATCTCATTCTATGCAAATTTATTTTCTCGCAAGGCAGATGGATCCTTTAAACTTACAGCTAGTTTAGTTAGGCTTTCATCCCTATGGTGCTTGATTATTGTGGATGTGGATTTGGTGGTTGTACTAAGCATATTTTGTAAACCAAAAAGAAATAAAATAATAAAATTTAACATCTTGCTTGAATATGCAAAGCCCAGTGAGTAATGTAAAGCAATCCATGGTTTAGTACAGCCCCAGATTTGTAGGAAATTTGTGGTTCAGTACAGAATCACGATCCGGTACCATACTGATTTCTCTCTTTTGTTCTTTCAGGCTTTTCAGTCTCTTCTGGGGTCTCTTCCCACCTACTTCCCACGATGCCACCACTTCCAAGATTTGCTGCCACTTTATTTCCTGTCCAGCTCCCTTCAGAAAATTCTCCACAAGTCCAGAGCCATGGTCACTTGCAAATTGATCCCTTAATAACGCATCCACCCCTGCAAAGAGGTTCCCCAGTTTCTTCACCAAACAATAGCTGTGCAGAAACCTCAGGAGAGAATCCACAAATTCCAGGTCCAGGTTGGTAATGAACTGCAGCTGTGGAAATCTGCACTCAGGAACAATGTGCAAAGCATCAAGATTTTTGCCTTTACTTCCCATTTTGACTTTCATGATTTTTTTAATGTTCCTTTAAAAACTTTTAGATTAAGGGTCTTTTCATTCATTTTTGTTTTATTTTGTTTTGCCTCTCCATGTTTGGAAATAGTGGCCATGTTGTTTCTAGTACTAACAGAGAAAGCAGAGGCCTTGTTTCTATGGAATGGGTACAGGTGGAATAGAAAATGTTTAGATTAAAAAGGAAAAGTAGTTACAGCTGTAAGGAATGTGGTAGCTTCTAAGAGAGAAAGTTTAAAGGGAACCAGTGTGGCTTTCAATGATCATAGAATCATAGAAGAGTCATGGCTGGAAAGGACCTCCAGGCTAAGCACAGACATTCGGGGGCATTAGGGGGAGGTTACATTGGATCAAAATGGCTGCCTGATATCAGGTAAATCAGGATGCGGTGGGAGAGGGGCTGGGGGGCTGGCAAAGGAGTTGGGGGTCCAGCAGTCTGGAGAGGAATGGGGGTCTGCCAGGGGATGGACAGGTTCTCCTCCGCAGGTGGAGTAGTTCCTGGGGTTGTTGCTCCACTCACACACACTTCATAATGCTACTGAAATTGGGCACATGGACAGTTACTACAGAACTAAGGCTCAGTAAATCCTTTGGTAACTGTGAGTAGTGGTAACACAGTATATGGGGTTACATGACGTTATCTGGGTGCAAGTGGGGCTGCAACTGGAAACATTTTGAGGACTGTTCCTATAACGATCACAATATAGTGCTATAGTACACCAAAAGATCCAAAGTCCCTAGCTCAGCAGGGTAGTTAAGCCCATTTTTGAGCATGTGAGTCCATTTCTGAGCATATGAGTAGTGCACTTGGCTTTAGTGGGACTGTGCATGCTTAAGGTTTGCTACATGCTTAAGTGCTCTGGTGAACAAGGCAAAGGTGATGAGTGTTTTTTTCAAAAGCAGTTACAGCACTTTAATTGAAAACAGTTTATTTTAGGCTGTTTCTCTGAACATAGGGGCACACCCAGAGCCATTATCTCTGTGTCTTGGGAGCCCCACAAAAAGACTTTCCAGACAAGATGCTCTAGAAGAGGAAATAACAGCAGACAAAGGTAAATACCAGAAAGGATTTGAGCAATATATTCTTTTATGCTATTGGGAACAACTAAACTTGATGAAAAAGGTAAACAGGGCTATGAATCTGAGGAGGGGTCATGAAGAATGGCTCCCTGGTCAACCACTCTTGCGTCTCAGTTTGAAAATCCCAGTGCTAGAGCACCTCTGGGATTAGTGTGTTCCCTTTGACTTTCTTTGCAGCAGACCCTCTAAGGTAAGGCAGACTGCCTGGCTCAGTTCATAGGGCATATGGGTTGAGGTCAAGGGACCTGGTTTTGGTTCCAGTTCCACCATTTCCAGGCTGTTTAACTCACTTGCCCTCTCTGGCTAGTTTTCAGCTGGTGCCAGTGAGCACTGCTCTGTTATCTTCTCCTGCGGCCCATGCCCTAAACTGAACTAAAGCTGGTATATTTGAAGAAAGGTGGCAGTACAGCTTGCTGTTCCTCAGAAAAGAGGTGATTCTCCCCTAGTCAGGCTGGCACAAGGAGGCTCAAGTTACTTCTCTCTGCACCTTTGTGGGTGAATCTGATGCTCTGGCCCCTGGCAGGTGTTAATTTAGATGCGTAATGGAGTTTGAGGAATTCTATCCTGGATCCCAAAAATCACACATTCTGTCATGCTAGATATTTAAAATCTGGCACAGCAAGACACGTGATATTTTTGGGACCTGGGAGAAAATTCCCAAGATCCCATTGTGTGCCTGGACCTTTAAAGCTGAGCCAGACAGCCCACTCTTGGGGACTGCTTGCTGAAGATAGGTTGCCCCGTGCAGCTTTAAGCTTGTCAGAACCTAGCATTAGAGACCTACTCCTGAATGCTGGGCTCTTTGCATACTGGGAAACTTAAGTGGGCACCCTTTGACATGCATATTCAAATTAAAGCATGATACGATCCAGCCAATCAGATGGTCCACATTAAATGTGGATCATCTTTTGGGCTGGTTTGACATTTTATCACATGACAAATTGGCTGAATATGTGACATGTTACACTTTATCATGCAATTAATATGTTAATGGCATGATAAATGTAACATCTGCCAGAGGTTTAAAGAAGCTGAGTTGCACATGGATGGATTCCATTTCTCCAGGAGCAAAATCCTGTCTATTGTGCCAAGTGAAGTAGCAAGGCATGACAGGGTTGGAATGTACTGGGTGGGGGAGAGAGAAAATCAAGAACTCCCCACCCCACCCCCATCAGTAGCACTTGCTGCATTTCCACCCAAAAATAGTGGATGTTGTAGCTACCAGCTCTACATGCAATGTGTATAACAGGAAAGATCAGGTCCAGGCCTTCTCTAAGATTACAGGTTTCTATTAGTTGAGTTATAGGAGTCATTCTACTAGAGGCTAATGCTGAAGTTCTGGCTTTTGAAATGGCAGCTAACCCATTTCAGTGAATATAGTCAGCTGCTTCAGTTAGAAGGGTGTGGGGCTTGTAGGCTTTTCTTTTACAAGTTAAAAAAAAACAACAGGCAGCTCTGTTGTCCATTTGGGGGCATCTAATCTGGAGGTAGCGACAGAAATCAGAAAGAGCAAAGTGTGCCATACTACCTTCTTGTCGTGGCTATTAAACACTAGTATGGCTAATAGGGGTATGGTAAACAGGCTGTATTTGATCCAGATTTGGCCTGAATCGGGGACAGTGATTCGATTTATTGATTCAGATCACTGTCCCGATTCAATTTGGCTGAATCCAAATCTGAAGA